TATATATATATCTGTTAGTAATATTGATAATATATACACGGAAACCAAATTTTTAAAAAATGGCTTGAATCTTTATAGTATAAAAACTAGCCATAAGAGGAAGTTGAATTAGATGAAGATTTGATTCAGAATGAGAACTACACATATCCAAATTTGGCATATTCAACAGAAAGTCAATTTCCATAAGTTGGTGGTTGTTCTTTATTTTATATTGTAGATAGAGAAAAATTTGTTATTGTATATAATTAATACAAAATTAACATAGAAAAAGCGATATATACGATTTACTTATTGTAATATTACTAATTTTAAAAATTATCAATCATCGTGCAACTATTTCTCATTTTTAGCTGGTTGACATCAACTCTGGAGTTCCGTAATCGTCGAATTTAATTCTGTGAAGACGTGTACACGTTATGTTAATGAATTAACTAGTTACTTACAGGCGCAGCATACCGATGTTCCAATTTTTTACAGTTTTAAGAAATGATTAAATTTTACTGAAGAGTTTCACGAATATTCTTTATAGCTGACAGAATACGTAACCGCTTCTCAATCGTCGACTGACCTCCGGGAGCGAGGCACGTTATCTTTTATGGAACTTCCCCACTTCGCAGACAATATCTGATCAAGCTCCTGCGTTCTCTGATAAATTCGAATACAATCATGTCACTCGACTCAACTCCTCCTTTCCGTCTTGTAAATTTATATTTCAAAGTTTCAATCTAATTAGTCACAGTTCCACAATTCCACAATTTTCATGCTCTTTAGTCAAATGTTTTAGGAACGAAAATACCTATAGTTTTTTTATCACTACGAATATTAGCAGTTTTTTATTGAATACATTACTTTACTATCATATTATTATCAGGTATCGTATAGTATATTTATATATACATAAAATATTTACGTATTATTTATATCGTGTTTACATCAATATTTTTCATGTAAACAGTACAAGCAATGTAAAATACATAAATTATTAGAAATTGAATAATACAATACAGAAAAAAGTAATTAAGTTTTATAATTATTAATTTTATCTGACTTTAATATTCCCAAGTAGAACAACAAGTCACGATAACTTAAAACTTAAGACAGTTTTACAGAAATATAAGATCTATGAATATTCAGATTCTTAATCAGCAGACAATTCTTAAAGCGTCTTTTAAATATTTATTTTTCATCAAAAACAAATAATAAATATTTATTTTATTGTAAAACAAACACTATATATGTACTTTATATGTAAAACAAATATTTATTTTGTCTTTTATTTATATTTTTTATTAATTATGCGTTGTTTGATTTATTGTAAAAATAATATTAATTGTTTATTAAAATTTAATATATTTTATATTAATTATGAGATTTCTTACTCATGTTCTAATGAAATGATGATGATTAAAAGATAAACTCCGAAAATTAAGTTCTAAGATAAAAGTAAATAAAATATTTTGACAGTTTTTGATTCTCGCACCTAAACGTTTAGTCATATTGTAAATAGCACTTACACACAGACGATTTGTGTGTCATGTATACTATATACATACTTATGCGTGTTGATCACTATATACTATTACATGAATATCTTACGCACGCATACATGTAAATTTTCATATAACAATAACGTTTTAATTAGTCTAAGTCCAGTTTTAAGAATTCCACATTTCTTCGGACAAATTACGTATGTACTAGTCTGGATACTATTTCTTCTTCTTCTTCTTCTTTTTCTTCTTGTCCTTCAATGAATTTATGTTTCATTCCAGTGAATCAAATTACTACGATTTCATGGGCGAATCTGGAGACTATGTCTCTTTGAGGACAGAGGAGATTTCTTCTTTTTTAAAAGCTTATAATTTAACTTCTTGACCCAGTCAACTAAAGTCTCGCATTAACGAGAGCCGAAACTGAGCACTCTCCTACTTCTTTCGGAGGGGAATTTGAAAACACAAGCCCCCTTAAATATTCCCAAGATCACTACCCGGCAAAAAATTATTTATGCATAAATAAATATGTATAAACATACAAAAACACGCAGAAATATTTATAAATATGTATAATTATATATGAAATATGTTCATCCTTCTTTCTTTTGTAAAATTATTTTTGTGTATTAGTGTAATTGAAATAATAATAGTAACGTGAAAAACACAAAAAATATTGGGAGTACAAATAAGGGAGTAATAATAATAATAATTTCCGCCGTTTTTTATCAAAAATTAAGCATTTATTGTGAAAGAACGGTACATAATGTTTTATTCAAAATAATGGCCATCGCTAGCCATTACTTTTTCCCATCTTTCTGATATGTGGATATCGCGTCGGAAGAACGCTTCATCTTTTGAGACTATCATCAATACAATTTTTGGTATCTTCATATGATGTGAAGTGCTCAGACAGGCCATGCGTCATCGATCGGAACAAATGGTAGTCGGAAGGAGCAATGTCTGGAGAATACGACAGGTGAACTTCCCATTTGAATGTTTCTAAGCAGGTTTTAACCGGTGCCGCAATATGTGGTCGAGCATTATCATGCAGGAGAATAATTTTGTCATGCCTGGAATAGTAGTAGACGCGTTTTTCCTTGAGTGCTCGGCTCAATCTCATCAATTGTGTTCGGTAGAGAGCCCCAGTAATGGTCTCGTTCGGTTTGAGCAACTCATAATACACGACACCAAACTGATTCCACCAAATACACAACATAAGTTTTTTTTCATGAATATTCGGCTTGGTTGTCGATGTTGAAGCCAGATGGTCCCCATGATTTCCTCTTCTTTGGGTTATTTTGTGGATCCATTTTTCATCACCAGTGACTATATGATGCAAAAAAACCCTTTCGTTTATGCCTGGCAAGCAGCATTTCACATGTGAAAAATCGGTGTTCAACGTTTCTCGGCTTCAGTTCATATGGAACCCCATATGGAATCCTTTGCTTTTGAATCATTTCCAATGATTTCAAACGATATGAAATTGTTTGTTGAGTCACTCCTAATGTAAGTGCAAGTTCTTTTTGTGTTTGACACGAATCTTCATCCAATAATGCTTCCAATTCCGTGTCTTCGTACACTTTCGGCCTTCCATTCTTTGTCTTGGACGTTAAATTCACCGTTCTTAAACTTTTGAAACCATTCACGACAACTTCTCTCACTTAAGGCAACATCATCATATGCTTCTACAAGCAATCTATGAGCCTCAGCTGCAGATTTCTTCAAATTAAAGAAGTACATCAAAAGGTCTCGCAAATGACGCTATTCGGCTCAAAACTCAACATTTTTGTACAAAAAGAATATATGATGCTGATACAAAATCATTAATATTTCAAGGTTATGGTGTTGCCGGATGTCCAATCTTACGATATGTCATTTTACATCAAACAATTTTAACTATATTTATTATTTTAACTATATTTATTAGTTTCCGCCGTCTTTTGCAAACGGCGGAAACTTATTTGTACTCCCAATAATTAAAGGAATAACTTTCGCATTATTTTAGAAAAAAACAAGTTTGAAAAAATGTAAAAAAAATTGCCCATAAACATAATAATTTTATACATAATTATATGTAAGTAATTTTTTTACATTTCTTCAAACTTGATTTTTTTTTAAACAAATGCGAAAATTACCTTTTTAATTATTTTTAATTATTTTATTGTTTTTTTCACATTACTATTATTATTCTATTACATTAAAAAGTAATTTTACAAAAGATAAAAGGATGTATGCACATGTATGGATATATTTCATATATAATTATATATGTTTATGAATATTATGTGTGTTATACATATTTATATGTTTATATGTTTATATGTTTATATTTATATGTTTATTTATATGCATATTTATATGCATATTTATATATTTATACATATTTATGAACAATTTTACCGATTATTTTGTAAATACAGATTGCACAGCTTTTGTATAAATCAAATATCACGTGACAGCTCTGGAGTGCCATATTGGACAAAGAAATGAAAATCTCAATTTTGAAATTTTTTTGTTATTCTCAGCATAGATTTCATTTTGTAAACACGTATTAATGCGTATATATACTTTAATCCTGGAAAAAGATTTTCGAATCAGTAAAAGAGAAAGAAGTAATTATTATATAAAAATTATACGGTTTATTTGATACGGTTAATACAGACGACTTTAGGATCCTCTTAAAATCATTGCAAGTCATCACTAAAAAAACGTAAAATAAATACCATATTTATTTAATAAAATCGCGTGCGGGAAGAGAAAAGAACGTGACAGAGACTACACGAAAAGAAGAGAGAGAGAGAGAGAGAGAGAGAGAGAGAGAGAGAGAGAGAGAAAGAGAGAGAGAGAGAGAGAGAGAATAAGATGGTAAGTATAGACTGCAACGAGAGGAGAGAGAACTACATACTACAATGAATGGAAGGGAGGGGAAACGGGTTGGAAAGAGAACATAACGGGTGGAAGAGAAAAAGAACAAAATCCTTTTCCCGCAAACCTCTTGCCTATCGATACACTGCTCCCTCCTTCGGACCTAGCGTGACCTCTGTGACGTACTCCCTCCCCTCTTGATCCCTCATATACACATACACACCGCATATATGAATACGCACTAACACATAGTGATCCAAAACTCGCTTAGCTATTTTACTGGCTTTAATAATACCTAATATAAAAATATATACATATACATGTATGTATATATTATATTTTCTTTTTCTGACCAGTTTCACATTTTGGGCTTGAGAGAACGAGTGGTCGTTGTCCTCCGATTCTTTCCGCTTCATCGATGATACTTCTTCAAGTCGAGGTTGTGGACTCGATACTGATTCAAGGGCTAACCGATACGATCATAGAATAAAAAATTTGCTCACTATTACAAACAAAATTTCGAAGATAGATGTACATTCAGTGTGCCTTAAGTTGTAAAATTCCACAGCTCTAAATCTAAAAGAAACGCAATTTTTTTTCAAAAATTAGACTGTATTAAAAAATTTTCTCGAAATATGTCTTGTTTAAAAATTTTAATTTTAAAATCTATTTTCGAAAATAATATTTTTTCAAAAATTGGCCAATCTTTAGAATTTGAACTCATCAAAACAAATTCTTGAATCTACTTGTATATCCTTAATTGAAATTTATATTTTTTAATATAATATATTAAAAATAAAATAAATGAATTTTACGAAA